CTTGTATCTGACTCTTTGTGACCCTATGGACCACGAGGTTCCTCTGTCCATAGGATTCTCCAGGCAAGAATACTGGAGTGGGTTGCCATGCCTTCCTCCAGGGGATCTTCCCGGCCTAGGTGATAGAACCTGGGTCTCCTGCATTGCAGGCAGATTCTTTACCATCTGGGCCACCAGAGAAGCCAAAGGCCCCACTCAAATGTCAGTGGTCCATCACCTCTGGACAACGCCGAATCAAAGGAAGAGCGGTCTTCCTGAGGGCCCACTGACAGAATTCTTAAGAATGGATCCCATGCTGGGCAAGGTGGTGAAGGGGTAATAGGATCTTTCTCCAGTCATACCAAAGGTCAGAGGGATCCCATTTGTGGCCTTGCTCCACCCACTTTGGAGCCTGGCTTGGGCAACCCTGAACCCTCACCATCCACGCCCTTATCTTTCAGGGGCCCTGGTTGGCCACTCATCAGCAGAGCACTGGACAGCCACCCAAGCATACTGTGTTCCCTCTCTGTGATGTTGAGACCTCTCAGCTCCAACTGTCTCTTTCTTTGCTCCTCTCCCTCCAGAAGTCAGTTCACAACAAGGAAGGTTAGTTCCCTGGGCTCCTCTCCAGAAGCTGAGCCTATGTCTCAGGGAGTTGTCTCTGTTTTATCTTGTTGACTTTTCCTCCCAGGCCCAGGCAACGGAGAGAGCTCTGAGGCCCACATCAGTACAGTTTTTACCTCCTCAGCAATATACAACTTGAGTTTGACAATCACTTCTCTGGAATATCCCTTAAATATTATGTCTGAAAGTTCTACAAGGCTTGCTGGTGGAGAGAAGCAGAAACACCGGGCTGGAAACAGTGTCCACGGTAAAGGGTTAAGAGCTCTAAAATCGGGCCTAAATCTAGAGTCTACATGTTTGCACTTTCATCCATTCTACTCTAATGACGTGGCAGCTGTCACTGCCTCTGCCCACTGCGAACTCGTCCTGCCTGAGCTGGGTGGCCTCCTCTGTCTGCGACGGAAGCATCTGCTCATTAGCTTGTCTGCCTTTGTGAGGACACGGTGTGTGCCCGTGTACCTTTAGGGACAGGCAAAGGATGTGAATTCCGTAGCAGGTGACGCTGTACAAGGTCCTGCTCTGCTCATATTGTCTGCAGAGCTCTGAGATGGCCACTGAGAGGCTCAGCCACAGCCAGCTAACCAAACCCTTTAAACAAACCCAGGGTGTCAGAGGATGTGATAGCTGGATGGCATTACCGATGCAATAGACATGAAATTGGGCAAACTTCGGGCAATGGTGAGGGACAGAGAGGCCTGGCTGCTGCAGTCCATGGGGTCCCAGAGTCGGACACCACTGGGCGACTAACAGGACCTCTATATGGTGACTGGTCACTAGGGGGCGATCTCACACAGCAAACCTGCAGCCCTCTGAGCTCTGGGGGAAAGCTGAAGGCCTTCACGTGCCCGTCCATGCCTGGGTTTCTCAGTTCAGGGAGGGAATGAATTGACAACAAGTCCAGGTCAGCAGGCAGGAGCATCTGAGAAGGCATACCTCCCGGGAGCTAAGATGTAACCAGGTCCGGGCACGACAGTGTGGAGAGAAGCTGAAAGGACAAGAGCTTGTCTGTTTTTACTGGGTATGAAAATGTATTTATTTACACAGTAACATGATGCCACAGAGAACACAGCAAAGTACCACAGCAAACCAAAGGGCGGCGCCGCCTGGTGACAGAGGGGACCTTTCGTTGGTAGGTTTCTACAACTCTAAAATGTGTTAAGTAGAGAGGTGAAGCTCCAGGAAAGAAAAAAAGAAGATTTTAAAAAAGCGAGCATGGGCAGAACCAGTGGGGAATGAAAGAGAGAGCGGAATGAGGACTGCCATGATTCAAATCACTGAGAAGGACAACATCTTGCTTCTGCCCTCATTTCATACCAAAATGCCCGGCATGTCAACAGAAAAAAATCCCATCCCGGTGTGTTCGCATGTAACACCCTTTAAAACTGCTAAGGGAGGGGATAACCAAGTAGTTACTTGGAGCAAGTTTCCTGAAGCAGTGTGGTTTATCTTTCAAAAATGCTACCCTGAAGCCATAGGGCTGGTTCAACATTCAAGTTATCGGGAGCGCGGACACACACACACACACTTTCCACACACTAGACGGGCAAAGTGGATTTTCCATAATATAATATTTGTAGCAAAATATATGACTCTGTACTTCTGCTAGGTTAAAAAATGTCCGACCTCTTTTGATTCCCTGAAACTTTCTTGATTTGAAAAATAAAAGTGGAGGCAAATGGATGGGGAAAAGTGAGAAGCCGGAATAAACGCGGAGGCTCTCCGGTGTGGGAAACACCTGAAGGGATGTCCCGGATGCAAGCCCTTGCAGCCCGCCCGGGTAAAAGGGGAAAAGCTTCTGCAGTAGCTGACGCAAAAACCTACTCTAATTTCAAACAGCTGCGGAGAGAGGGTGTTTAACAGCTGTATAGCACCTTGTACTTTCTGGGCACTTATAAATATTAAATGGTGGTGATAATGAGTGGTGAACACCTCGGTTTATAAAAAAATACTACATTTTAAAAAAGAAAATTCCCAAGAGTTTTTTTAAACAAACCTATTGAAACTACCACATCTCTTAAAATAAAAAAAAAATCCTCAGCTTTTAGTATTACAGGGATATGATGTTCCCAAGCTGAAGTTTGGGCGATTGTCACGATCATGTAATTGGGAGAGGGGATTGATTGTTCCTTCTCCTGAAATGCTGGGGAATTTATAATCTGCCCAAGGTTTTTGTTAGCATCATCTTCCCTCCCGCCCCATACACAAAATGGACTTGTTTTTAAAAAAATAGGTGCTTTTTTGAGGATGGTTTACTTGATCAGCAGAATACCTGGATGTGGAATGCATATGAATTCTCTTCCCATGGCGTCTGTCATAATTCAGCCTCATCACCTAAAAAACATCAGGACAAAGAGGCTTGGTTTCTTTGGTATAATCTCTATCTTGAATCTTGCATGGCACCACTCGTGGCTTCCCTAATGGTATCGTTTTTGGTCCATGGAATCCCCATGTTTGGCGCTACTGTCAGCACAGGCTGCGGTGCACACTTGAGTAAGAGTGGCACTTGGATTTGTCTTGGCACAGCACTTTGGGCCTTTGAGAATATGGGCTTCAATGAGGTAAAACTAACCACCTGCTATCATGGGCAGCCATCCTGTTCACTCATTAGGCTAAACCAGAAGTTTTACTCCTTGTCAACTAGTAAGGGGAATAAAAAACATGTCAGAGTTAGCCCAGGAAGTCAAGTTACTCCCTGCCCATCCCAAGTATGTTCATATTTTATTTATACATCTAGAATCATTTGGAATACAGTGCAGTATCCTGAGTCCATCCCAATTTTTGGAACTAACCCATATTTTTTTCAGATCATTGCTGGTAACATCTATGGAAAACTTCTATCAGCAAAACTAAGTCAGGTAATTTCCTAGCACCAAAGTATTCTTAATTCAAATGTGTGAAGTGCAATCCTTCTATGCCCTACTGTTTGGTAGGCCCCAAATATCTTTCATGGATATTTTATAATGCTAGAGACTTTAAAATACAATGTTAGGTAGTCTAATTCCCAGGATTATCATTAATATTTCCAGAGGCTCAGATCTCTTGGTTTACAGTTTTCTAAGTTTACAAACTTGGACTGAGTTTGGAAGCACAACTGGCCCCCAATGACAGTGAAAGGCTACTCAGACTCTTAAAATTCTAACCAACAGATCTTACTTTTGGCCCCTCAACATCAGTAGATTAGGGAATGTGAGTGCTGTGCTCCCCTGTATAGCTCACCCAGTTTATCTTCTGAGGGCAAAACTTAAAACCCGCTGCCATATTCCTGGCTTCCAATTCTGACTCAGCCTATGGGTTGGGGGATGTCCTTCACCATTCTTTTGTTGTTGATGCCATGGGTTGCAACTGCTCTTTCCACCATCTTGCTGTTATTCTTGATGAAGTAGCTTCTTGACATCATGCTAGTGCACCAAGGGCTCTCCTCAGGCGAACAAGGGAGCCCTTTCACAGCCCCCTCCTTCCCGTGGAACATCTAATTCCTTTCCTCCCAGATGAGGTTAGCACGCTAACAAGGCACTCTGCTGTACATTCAGTCTTGGTCTTGGCTACACCAGCCATTGTCCTGTTTCTCTAGTACCTAAAAGTGTACGAGAGATTATTCTTGCTCATGTGGCTTAAGGAAAAGTTCCAATAGCGGCTTAATTGTTCAAATTCTCAACATACATGGAAGAATCTATAGTACAGACTTAAAAAGAAGAGAAAAAATCCAATCCATATTGAAGACAATAACTTGATGTTACTCGAGAAAACTTAAAGTGCTATACTAGTCACAATCCAAAACTCATATATATATATATATATATATATATAACATGTATAAATATGTATGTCTGTGTCTGAGGGCAGGATTTCTTTGCAGTTGATGAATGAATTCAAAGCTTCTGCTACAATTAAAATGGAAATGCAAAATATATGTGTCAGTATGAGACTGAATTTCATCATTTTGGAAAAATATTTGGAGGACCATCTGACAATACCTCTTGCCTAGAAATAGGGTTATCTTGCCTATTCCGTTTTCACCTGTAACACCTTCGTCCTTCCCCACCTTACGTTCTTCGGCCCTCACTCAGAGAACTATTAACCTAGCCACCCACCTTGGAGCAGCCCGAGTCCCTTCCTGACTAGCTGGCATTCATCTTCTGCTCTTAACAAGTCCGACCATGAAAACAGTACTAAACACATCTAATGTGAAAAGGTGCTCGGTTCGCCAGTGCTATGAGATAATGGTAGTGGAGGGTGTCCGTGCTTATAATATTATCGAGTTAAAATGAAGAAGACTGGATCCAAGTCAAAACAGAAACAGGAGAAAAAAAGGAGGGTGGTGGTGATGAAGGATACCTATAAAACAAACAAAGGGGCCAGGAAACATTCTTCATTAAATATGAAACTGCATTAAATAGTCAACATTCAAATTCACATGGGCAAGGCAGCATGAGAGTGACATTGAGGACGTGTCTCAATGTGCAAACCATGGAGAGCAGGCTGCTAAGGGGGTGTGCTGGCTGACAGGGCCAGTGGTCTGTGTGCTGCCACTTCAGTGTATAACTGGGCAGGGGCTTATGTGCACGTGGGTTAGCTAAGGTCAACCTAATAAAGCCTGCTAGGCAAAGTGAGGCCAGGTTGCAGGACGCCGAGAGAGAGCGGACGGCTGGCCTGCAGCGCGCGCCCATCCTGTGGCCTTTCCTAGGGGGCAGAGCCTTGCACTCTGGCCAGAGGAGACAAGACTCTGTATGGGCCAACCAGCTCTCTTCCCTGAAGTCCTGAACTGCTGGCTGGGAGGACAGAGGCATCCTCCAGATGGGCCTCATGGGGGTCCCATTCTCGTAAAAAAAAAAAAGAAAAAGCAAAGAAGAGCACAATAAAATACATTCTTCTCCTTTCTTGATCCTCTTTGATACAGGTGAATCACATGAAAGGTGGTTAATAACGTTAAAAGTTTAGAAATTACCAAAAGGCCACTAACGTGCTATCTAAGTAATACTGCACAATCAGGCTTGGCTTTAACAAGCTCTGCACTGGCTGATGCGGGGCCCAGGGCTGTCTTGCCCACCAGGCAGAAGACGTGTCTATCAACCCTGCCACAGGTTGCTCCCCCAGAGGCCTGGCCTCTACTTCCAGCAGGCATGTGCACACACACGGGTATACACGTGTACACACACTCACACTGTCTGAGTGACTCTTGGGATTTCAAAGTTGAAGTAAACAGAACAGATACTCACAGTTTTGAATAACACACACACACACACACACACACACACGGTGGAAGGGACACTCGTCTCAGCGCAAATATGTGCCAAGGGAAGAAGGGGAGGGTTTCTGTGGATATTGCTTCAGGTGAAGTTGCAACATAAACACTGTATATACAGCTAAAAAAAATACATACAAAAATTGCACATGTATCCATAGGAGGGGAGCACAGACCCCATGCAGGGTGAACGGCTCTCGGCCACCCACCTCAGCAATCCAAACTCCCTATGAGCTGCCCTCAGTGCTGTGTCTGAGTCACCGGGAGCAATGTGCCCATGCAGCTGGGAGGCAGTCTCTCTAGACAATGTGGGCATTGCGAGGAGGAGGTCGGCGGTCTCATCAGTGGCCTTCTCCCCTTCCTCTGCCTTCTGGCCATCCTAATAGCCAGCCACACCATGCCCTTGAGGGAGATGTTATGGCTCAACGGACAGCCATTTCCATGCAGAGCTGTTGTCTACAGCATTTGGTAGACTAGTTAACACCGGCTGCTGATAGAAGGAGGCTGGCCAATTATGGCTCAGGGGAAAACTGTGATCTGGGTACCGGCAACCCTGGCTGCCAACGCTGACAGCTCTGACGGTAATCAAAGAACAGTCCTTTAACTCTGTTCCTGTGATGGCCCCTAGAGAACTGCACGTGCAGGAACACCATCTCCTTGTGTCCTGCTAGTTATTTGTAAGATCTGAACTGCACTCTTCCCTGCTGGGGCACTGGTGACACCACCCTGGGTCAGCTCTGTCATGGGCTGATAAACCCAAACTTCACTGGCAAGTGGGGACAGAACCACGGTGAAGGAGATTCAGGCAGTGGCAGCACGAGGGGAGACTTAGGGCCATCCTCCATACAGTGCACACACTTACTGATAATGGAAACCAAATGGGTGCATGACCCTAAGGATGGATTCTCTCTCCTTGTCCTTCTACCATCTGCTGGAACAAAGGATGTAATTCCCGGAACCAAAACTGTGCTGATGCTAAGGATGGCAGTTCTGCCTGGTAAGAGAGCCAATTATTGATCCTTTAAAGGAAAAGAGTTTGTTGTGAAAGTTTAGTAGATGATGGTAAATACTGGTTAAATCTGTCTATTGCTAGTGAGAATAAATACATGGTGTTAAAAAGACAGGTGATACTCAGAGTTCTGGAGGAATTTGACCCAGCTCATGGAGTTCAAACCAGAGGAGCTGTCACTTCAAGGATGCATCTTCATATTTCCTGCACTTGGGGACAGTTAGGGCAGAAGGTGTGTTCCCATGAATGGCAGCTGCACATTTGTGCGGCTGACTTTCCCTAATGTTAAGATGGACTCAGCGTCTCACTGGACTTGGATGGGGATGGAAGGCCTGTCTCTCCTCTTTCCTTGAATTCTGTATGAGTACCAGGAAGGGGAAATGTGTGGGCAACTTGAAGAAGGTGACACATGAAGTAAGAGCAGGGACCAGGACATGTTAACGGGGCTGCAGGATTTTCACAATACAGCTGAGAGAGTCCGGAGTGGCAAAAGCCAGATACTGAGCACAAAGCCAGTCCTCCAGGCTGACGCCAGCCTCCCGGTCCAGGGACTTCTCGGCAAACTTGATCATGAGCAGTGTGCGCTTGATGTCCAGCCAGTTCTGGAGCAGGGTATTTCTGTGACCAGGGCTGGGAGAGGCAGTGAAAGTCTGGAAGAGATCTTCCCGGGGACCCCAGAGCAGACACTGGAGGATGCCTTTGGCATCTGAAATGAGGATCCGCTCAGAAGGGTTGGGATTCAGGAGGCAGCTGGCCAGCTGCTGCAGGCCCCGGGAATAGGGGGAGCGGAGTGGGATGCGGGGCAGGTCGGCTCGAGTGTACTCCTTTTCCTTCAGCTCTGGGTTCTCATCAAAAGGGTTGGGCAGGTGCAGCATCTCGTAGATGAGGATGCCTGTCTGGAACTCATCACACTTTTTATATTGCGTAGCCGTGATGATCTCCGGGGCGAGGCGGGACTGGTCCCGGAGGATCTCAGGGTCTACCAAATGGCTCTTCTGCTTGGCCTGGGAGAAGTTGCTGACGATGAGCCTCGTGGGACAGGATGGGGTGGGGCTAGGCTCTGCGGGCCCCAGGCCCTGGGTGGGCCCCCCGGGCTGGTAGTGGACGAGCAGCAGGTTCTCCAGACGCAGATCGCAGTGGGTGACGTGGTAGGGTTTGAGGTGCTCCAGGCCCGAGCACAGCTGCAGAAGCAGCAGACACACTTGCCTCTCGTATGCATCCGGGCTTTTCCCATGCTGTGCCAGGGAGTCGCGCACAAAGTCAGCCACTGTGAGACAGGGAACCTCTCTGGTGATGACCACAACGTGGCTCCTCTGCTTCCTGCTGACGACTGCCTGGCTTTCTTTGTGGGACGACGACTCTGCTTCGGAGCCCAGGTCTGGGCTCTTCCCATCAGCTTCTCCTTTCACCTCTTCCGTTGCTTCCATGTCATCCTCTTCCTCTTCGGGGGCGTCGGGATCCTCCCAGGGAAGCAGGCGCTTAGGAACTTCGGCAAGGAAGTGACCGCAGTCCTGCTGGATGTTAAAATGGACAGCCAGACTCTGCCGGATAGCCAAGCTGTGGTAATATTGCTGCGATTCCTTAGCTTTGCTCTTACAGATCTGAAGGAAGAAAGCAAAGAACATAATTTAAAATGCACACCATCATAAGAAGGCTTCTGATTTGTAAAGAGGGGTTAACTAGAAGGTGACTGGTAGGAGTCTGGAGTAGCGAGAGCAACAGTGTTGCAGTGAAGATACAGCAATAGAGTTGAGTTTTTCAGAAAGGGTTTTGGTGACTGTGTTGAGTGACAGAAACAGTGTCTTCACGCGTAACCCATCACGTGTATTATCTCTAGTCCTTACGTGTGCGTCTGTGCTAAGTTGCTTCAGTTGTGTCTGGCTCTTTGTGACCCTATGAATTGTAGCCCGCCAGGCTCCTCTGTTCATGGGATTTTCCAGGAAAGAATACTGGAGTGGGTTGCCATGCCCTCCTCCAGGGAATCTTCCCCACCCAGGGATCAAACTTGCCTTTCCTGCGGCTACTGCACTGCAGGTGGACTCTTCAGCACTGAGCCCTCAGGGAAGCCCTCCAGTGCTTACACTAACTCCTTAAAGAATAGGCTGTGCGTGTGCATGGTCAGTCGCTCAGTCGTATCCAACTCTTTGTGACTCCATGGGCTATAGCCTGCCAGACTCCTCTGTCTGTGGAATTCTCCAGGCCAGAATACTGGAGTGGGTTGCCATTTCCTTCTCCAGGGGATCTTCCTGACGCAGGGATCAAACCTGTGTCTCCTGCATTGCAGGCAGATGCTTTACTGCTGAGCCATCTGGGAAGCCCAAAGTAGGCTGAAGACTTAAGAATTTAAAAAACAAAATCAAAAAACACAAACCCAGGGCCACTAGTTTGCACACCTAAGTCTGCCCGACACCAAAGCTTCCTCCTTCCACTCTACCTTGCCCCTCATCTAGAAAACTGAAAAACAAAAAAGTCATTTTCCATTTATGCTTTCTTTCTGTGGAGCTTTATAGCCCAGACTTATAGAGCAGCTCAATAAGTAGCTTATAACATAGGCCAGAATACCTTATATCACTGGTCAGGAGACTTGACATAGAATTGGCCAGGTAAACTTTGGGTCTTCCTAACTTTTCAGTGAATGTCATTGTGATGGTCACAACTCAGGTACTCATGGGTAAAGAAGAAAGTTTGAGAGAATCACTGGTCTCATCAGAGCAAAACCACCATTTCAATGGCAGCAGTCTGAGTTTTACATTTTCTCTCTTTTTTTTTTTGAACAACACTCTATACCCAGCTTTTATTACTTAACAATATGTCTTGAAACTGTTCCATAGATAGCATACGATTAATAGTTTTTTTTAATAGCTACATACATTCCAGTGCATGGACATGCAAGAAGAGTTCAGTTACCCCTCTCTACTGGCAGACATTCAGGTCCTTTCCAGCTACAGACAATGCTGCAGTGAAAAGCCTCATACATCCCCATATTGCTTGTGTATGAGGATACCTGTAGGATAAGTTTCCAGAAGTGGAAGTGCTGAGTCAAAGGGGATCTGTATTTAGATGTTTGATAAATGTTACCAAATTGCCTCTATCAAGTTGAGTCAGTTTACGCATCAGCCAGTGGTGCAGGGGGGTGGGGGTGGGTGGGTGGGTGGGGTGCTGGTTCTCTTCCCATTCTTGCCAGCTTATCATGTTTACAAGCTTTATCTCTACTGATCTGATAACTGAAGAAAAGTATCTTTGGAGATACTATTTTTAATGAGTTATTGAGCACCTCTTCACATCTTTAAGGGTCCACTGTAATTTCCCCCTTTTCATTACCATTAACTATTTCTTTATGAAGTGAAGTGAAGTGAAAGTTGCTCAGTCATGCCTGACTCTTTGCGACCCCATGGACTATATAGTTCATGGAATTCTCCAGGCCAGAATACTGGATTGGGTAGCCTTTCCCTTGGGGATCTTCCCAACCCAGGGATTGAACCCAGGTGTCCTGCATTGCAGGTGGATTCTTTATCAGCTGAGCCACAAGGGAAGCCCAAGAATACTGGAGTGGGTAGCCTATCAGTGGATCTTCCCAACCCAGGAATCGAACTGGGGTCTCCTGCATTGCAGGCAGATTCTTTACCAACTGAGCTATGAGGGAAGATTCCCTATTTCTTCATATCCTTTGCCTATTTTCCTCCATTTGAGTCACTGGTGGTTCATTTCATTAAAAAAAAAATTAAAGTATAATTGCCTTACAATGGTATATTAATTCTTGCTTACAATGAGGTGAATCGGCTGTATATATACATATGTCCCCTCCCTGTTGGACCTCCCTCCCCCCAGTCCCTCTATCCCACCCTTCTAGATCATCATAGAGCACTGAGTTGAGCTCCTGTGCTTTACAGCAGCTTCCCACTAGCTATTTATTTTACACACAGTAGTGTATATTACTGGACTTCCCTCATGGCTCAGATAGTAAAGAAACTGCCTGCAGTGCAGGAGACCTAGGTTTGATCCCTGGGTTGGGAATATCCCCTGGAGAAGGGAATGGCTACCCACTCCAGTATTCTTGTCTGGGAAATTCCATGGACAGAGGACCCTGGCGGGTTACAGCCCATGGGGTTGCAAAGAGTCGAACATGAGTGAATGTGTATTATATGTCAATCTTAACTCCCAATTTGTCCCCCTGTCCCTTTCCCACCTGTGTCCACATGTCTGTTCTCTATATCTGTATCTCTATTCCTGCCCTGAAAAACAGTTTCATCTATATCATTTTTCTATTATTTCTCAGGTGGCTCAGTGGTAAAGAATCCACCTGCAATTCAGGAGATGTGGGTTTCATCCCTGGGTCAGGAAGATCCCCTGGAAAAAGAAATGGTAATCTACTCCAGTATTCTTGTCTGGGAAATCCCATGGACAGAGGAGCCTGGCGGGCTAAAGCAAAAGGGGTCACAAAAGAGTTGGACATGACTTAGTGACTAAACAACAATATCATTTTTCTAGGTTCCACATATATGTTTTAATATATAATATTTGTTTTTTCTTTCTGATTTCTTCACTGTATATGACAGACTCTAGGCCCATCCACATCTCTACAAATGACCCAATTCTGTTCCTTTTTATGGCTGAGTAATATTCCATTGTAGACATTCATCTATCATTGGACATTTAGGTTGTTTCCATGTCCTGGCTATTGTAAACAGTGCTGCAACGCTATCTACACTGAACATTGGGATAGATAAAAAAATATACAGACAATAAATGCTAGAGAGGATGTGAAGAAAAGAGAACCCTCTTGCACTGTTGGTGGGAATGTAAACTGATGCAGTCACTGTGGAGAACAGTAGGAAGGTTCTTTAAAAAACTAAAAATAGAACTACCATATGACCCAGTAGTTACACTACTGAGCATATACTGAGACAACCATGCTTCAAAATGACATGTGTACATTTTCTCTTAACAGGCCAATATTCAAGCAATAAGGCCTCTCAAAAAGAATCTTATTAAGTGGTTATGGATCAAGGAAGAGTTTTTTGAACAAAAACATTAGCCAAGAGTTCTACATTCTAAAACAACTATCGTATTTCTAGTCTTAAAGGGTTAGAAAAGCAATAAATAAATAAAAATCACCTCTAAAATGATTATCCTCATGATACGACATGAGAAGCTGACAATGGAAGGCTGAGTCTCCAACACTATTCATAGATTGTAACAGCCTGGTCCTCCCAGGGAACCAAGACCAAACCAAGAACAAACTTGCCACTTTTCCTCCTTGGCGGGAGCACGCTGCTGCACCTCACAGACACCGACGCCTCCCAGCAACAGGTGCTCTGCAGTGTCTACAATTTGCTCGTTTATTGTGGTGACACAGAAAAAGCAAATTTGGAAAAGCTTTTCTAGCCTTCTCTATTTACAAAGAAAAATGTACATTTTCTTAGGAGGATGCTGATGGATCCTCGGTTCTGGGAAGCAGCAGGCTCTGATTTCCATCAAAATAGATGCTTTAAAAAAGGAGCCGTGGCAAAGGAGTCTGAAGGAGAGGAACATCAGAAGGCTGTTCCTCTCTTTTATGGTATTTATACATACTTATTACAGTGGTCAATGACGCACACACACACACACACACACACACACATGCACACATGAGAGAGAGATGTGAAAAAAAGTTTCTTCATCTTCTACCACGAACTTCATCAGTTTTTGGCATTTCTTCTTTATGCAAACTTCTGGTCTTGAAATAGAGATATCCCCAGGCTGAGTTCAAGTCCAAATATATATCTTTCAGAAAGAATTATCTTTGCAAAGCTTTCTAAGTCTCAGCACATGCAGTATAATATATAATCCTGTATGCTCATCAATCACAACATGAATTCTTTCTATACTGTACTGTTGGCAATATTTCATATTTATATGTTACTAGGTATTTAAAAATCTTATACTAGTCATCATTTAGTTGCATGGGAGTTAGATCTAGGACACGACACATTCCAGTTTTAATAATTTGCCCAATATCACACTGCCCACTAGAATGGAAGTTCAAAGGTCCCAACTCCTCAGCCTTTGAAAAGCCAGTCAAACACCACTGAGTTTGGCTGAATGAGACTGTAGTTAAACCCTGTCACCCTAGAGAAGGGAAACTTGCCAAGGACTTGAAAGGCCTAGTATTTAGCCCCGCTACCAGCTGTGTAACCTTGGTCATTTCTCTTAATTTCTCTGGGTCCCAGTCTTTCTAAGTAAAGGAGACAATATGAAGAATACTGAAACCTCCTTCACAGGGCAGTTGTGAGAATCAAGTGAGATCAAGCACGCACTGCATAATTGTGAACTGCTGCCGCCGTGCTGTCCTGTGCGCAGTCGCTCAGTCGTGTCTGACTCTGCGACCCCAGGGACTGCAGTCCGCCAGGCTCCTCTGTCCACGGGGATGCTCCAGAAAAGAATACTGGAGTGGGTTGCCATGCCCTCCTCCAGGGGATCTTCCCAACCCAGGGATCAAACCCAGGTCTCCCTCATTGCAAGTGGCTTCTTTACTGTCTGAGTCACCTGGGAAACCCCTGTAAACTACTAAGCTGTACAAATGTCATTCATAATGACTAAAACAATGACAACTTGTAAATGT